TTGTAGATGACTTTTTGTTTATCCCTAGCCACCCTTAAAATTCTCTCTTTATCTTTGATTTTGGCAAGTTTGATTATAATATGTCTTGGTGACTTTCTTTTGGGATCTACCTTTGTGCGGTTCAGTGAGCATCTTGGATAGATATCTTGTCATCTTTCACAATACCAGAGAAGTTTTCTGCCAACAAATCTTCAACAATTCTCTCTGTATTTTCTATTATACCCCCCTGTTCTGGTACTTCAGTCACTCTTAGGTTATTCCTCTTGATAGAGTCCCACATAATTCTTAGGGTTTCTTCATTTTTTAAAATCTTTTTACCTGATTTTTCCTCAACTAAGTTGCTGTCAAGTGCTTTATCTTCATTCTCACTAATTTTGACTTCCATTGCCTCAGTTCTGCTCCTATGACTTAACAATTGAGTTGTCTAATTCTGAAATTTTATTGTTAATCTTGTGGATTTCTGTTTGCTGTCTCTGTATGGATTCTTGGAGCCTGTTAAATTTGTCATTATGTTCTTCTTTAATCTTTTTAATTTCCTTTATTGCGTGTTCTGCGTTTTGTTTAATTTCCTTCCTAATCTCTTGAAGAGTTCTGTATATTAATCTTTTGTATTCTGCCTCCAGTAGTTCCAAGAAATTTTCCTCCTCTGGAAAATTTCTAGATCCTTTATTTTGGGAGCTTGTTGAAGCCATCATGGACTGCCTCTTTATGTGATTTGATATTGACTGTTGTCTCCAAGCCATCGATAAGTTATTATATTTATTTATTTTATGTTTGCTTACTATGTCCTAGTTTCTTGTTTTGTTTTGATATGCCCAAATAGGCTGCTCGTTTGAGCTTGTTTAATTATTGACATCTTTGAAGCGCTAATGTCCTTTCACCAGGTGGTTAGTTCTTTTACCATGTATGTGAGCTCAGGAGTACGCCTGCTCCTCCTGTATGGATTCAGCTCAAGTGTCCAGGTAGATAGCCACCAAGTATGTGGTGCAGACTCTCACCTACAGTCCTAGACAGGCATGGGTGATTGGGGTAGGCACAGGCATCTGGCTGCAGCAGGGGGACACACTCTGAGCAAGGCAGAGGGCTGAGGGCTGCTCCTGAGTGTCCAGGGGGAGGCATGTCCCTCTTCCCTAGAGTGCATAGGCGGGTGGGTTTTGCAGCCTGACTATGAATACCCAATGCTGTTGGCTGTAAGGACTCGGAGGCATCTCTTATTCTTGGGCCCCTATCGCAGGTGGCTGGGTGGCATGTGTGGAGCCACCAGGCCTCAGGCCCCTGATGTGGGTAGTTTAAGACCCTGCTTAATGGGCAGAGCAGTGTCAAATTTCATGAACCTGCCACTTCACAGCTGAAACAGTTGAAGTTAGACTTCAGTTATATACCCTGTGGTACTGCGGTAATGAGGGACTACGCTGTTGAAATGGGCCCACAGAAGTCTATGGAGGGGGAAAGGCACTTAAAGTCTGTGGATCCTTTATGTCTGTGCCTAGCTAGGCAAAGGAGCTGTGCCTACCCTGAGTTCCTGGCTTAGGGGAGCTGGCAGTTTATTTTTTCCTCTGTTTGTTAATTTGTTCACTCTCCAAGGCCCGGAGAATGTCTCCGGGCATGTGATGGATCCTACTTCCAGCCTAGGGGACTCAACAATTGCTGAAGTCGGTCCAGGACCGATTGCAGAGGAGGGAGTGGGAGGTAAATGGGAGAGAGGTTTCCCTAAGAGGGGTGTTTTTGATCCGCACGGTGGGCCGGACTCAAGTACTTGTCTTTCGCTGATGGAGGGCTGCTTCTCACTGGTTCTGGATAGGTGAGTAAACTCTCTGTTGCTAGGTCTCTCCCGGGACAGAAAACACTTCCCGAGCACCCATGAGCTGATCAGGCCTGAAGGGCTCAGGCTCTTGCTGAGTCAGGTCTGGCAGCTCCTAGCTGCTTCCGAACTGTCTCTCCCTCCCTCTGCCACTCAGTCCGGTTCCTCAACTTTGCCTTTGATGTTCAAGGCTCCTGGATTGTCCATATATAATTGATTCACTTGTTTTTTGGGGTCTTTGTTATAAGAGAGTCTACCGGAAGCATCTGACTGCTGTGGCATTTTGGCCCCGCCTCCTTGTTGATGTTTTTTATGTCTAAATGTGAGATACTGGCTTGTAATACTGACTGAATTTTGGTAGCTTGTGATTTTTGAGGATGTGGTCCACTTCTTCTAATTGTTAAGTTTATTAATGTAAAATTGTTCCGGTGTTTCCTTATTTTCCTTTTAATGGTTTCAGGATCTGTTGTGATGCTGTTTCATTTTTGATTGATTTGTATTTCCTCTCTTTTTATCTTTAATCTAGCTAGATGTTTATCTGTCATCAATTTTATTGATTTTTTTTCAAAGAACTAACTTTTTATCTCATTAATCTTTTCTTTTTTTTTCCATTTTCAACTTCATTGATTTCTCCTTTATCTTTATCATTTCCTTTGTTCTGATTGCTTTGGGCATATTTTCTCTTTTTCTAGTTTCTTAAAATAGGAACTGATGTTACTGATTTGAGATCTTTCCTTTTTTCTAAAAGAAGTATTTAGTGCTACGGTTCCCTCTCGATGCTGCTTTTGCTTGCATCCCACACAGTTTGATATGTTATGTTTTCATTTTCATCCAGGAGTACGTTTTTTTTTTTTAATTTCCTTTTTGACTTCCCCTTTGACTCATGAATTATTTAGAAGTGTGTTGTTTAATTTCCAAGTGTTTGGAGATTTTCCTGCTGTCTTCCCGTTATTGATTTGTAGTTTGATTCTGTTAGAGAACTGTATAAATATGATTTTAATACTTTAATTTTGTTAAAAGGAGCCCTGGTGGCGCAGTGGTTAGCTGCTTGGCTGCCACTAACCAAAGGTTGTAGTTTCTAACCCAACAGCTGCTGCTGGAAGAAAGATGTGGCAGTCTGCTTCCGTAAAGATTTACAGCCTTGGAAACCTATAGGCAGTTCTACTCTGTCCTGTAGGGTTGCCATAAGTCAGAACTGACTCCACGGCAACGAGTTTGGTTTTGGTTTTAATTTTGTTAAGATGTGTTTTATGGCCCAAGATATGCCCTATTTTGATGAATGTTCCATGAGTGCTTGAAAAGAATGTGTATTCTGTATTGCTTTTGGGCCACTTTCTGTAGGGTATTGTGGAACAGAAGCTGCTGGACCTGGCTCTCCTTATGCCACTGGGTAGAGAGCAGAGAGACACAAGGGTTGCCTGCTGCTGCTGCTTCTGTAGACAAATAGGACCGCCCCCCAGTGCCCATTTGTGGAGTGCCACTTGCGACTCCCCACTAGGTCTTTGTTGGGCTTTCCTGTTTCTGGTCCTTTGGCCAGAGACAGCAGACTTGTATTGAGTTCTTTTGTTTATACCTGTTGGCAGTTTTGGGCTGAAGACCTCTCTAGCACCCATTTTAGGGTCTATGGGAGATAAGAAGGAAACCCAGGCAACTCACCATTGTTTGTTGAAGATTTTCCAGGGTAGCTGTAGTTAGAGGGGAGAAACAGAAAAGCGAGTCCGCCATCTTGTTCTTGAACCGGAAGTCTCTCTGCTGAACTTTTAATCAGAAGTTTATTTTCTGACTTTTCTTTTTCTGTATCTCCTGTTTCATGAACATATTATTTTGTTTTATCTCCCTGAAGATGTTATAGGCATTTCTTCTCCCTCCATTGTCTGTCCTCCGAGTTCCTTTTCTGTTTATTTCTTCTTGGCCTACTCTTCCCTCTCGGAGGCTTTCCTTGGTTGTCTGGAGAGCCTCGCTGTCGTTCTCAGATGAGACGTTGGAAACCTGAGTGTGCGTGGTGGAGCCAGGCCTGTGGGCTTTCCCACAAGGTCATCTGGAAGGCCCACACCACTGGCAGAACCTCTGCTGCCCAGACCCTCAGGTCTTTTACTTTTAGCCCAGTTTCTGAGAGGAATCTTTTGAGCTCCTGCTTGTGTGGTTCCTGTCTGCCTTGTAGCCCCTTGCAGCAGAGTGGGGGAGGGGAGCCGGACTTTCTGCAGTCTGCAGAGGTTTGCAGGACTCCTGTGGTCAGCCCGTATGTCACCCTGTCCCACAGCGGTGCTTGGAGTCCTCAGGTCATAGTCTGTGGTTCACCTCTGGAGGGAGTTCACCTATGGACTTCTGCAGGAAGTGGGAGGGTAGTCATCCAGTGATGTGGGGTGGGCAGAGATCTAGAGCCTTAACGTATTGTTTTATGACTCCTAGCCACTTCTCCGGTTTGCATTCCCACCTGCTGTGCCACCACAGAAGTACTGAAGCTCCTTGGGGTTCTGTGCTGAGAATCAGTCTGCATCTGGGCACCTCCCATTACTGGCTGAGGCTTTCACTTCCTCAGTCTGCCAAGTCAGTTACCACGCCCATCTGCTGTCCACCTTCTGGAATTTTGTAGCTGTTGTCTCTTCTCCATTCTCTGTCACTATGCTGTTCTGCTGAAGAGCTTTCAGTGGCTTCCTATTACTCCTATGACCAGTCCAAATCTCTCAGTTTGGCATTCAGTGCCCTCCATAAGCAGGCCCTGGCAGACTTCCTGACCCTCAGTTCTCCGTTGTGTGTACTCTCCTTACAGGGAGATCTCCCAGCCATGCTCAGAGTGATTTTGGGGCTCCCCAAAACTCCTCACCTTTGTCAGGAGCTTGGCAGCATCCTGGCATGCCACCTTATAGTGTATCTTAGGGAATACTCCCAACAGCCCTGGGGTGTGGCTGGGCATAGCCCTGTCTTACAAATTAGGAACCTGAAGCTCAGAGAAGTTTAACAACCAGCGCAATGACACAACTAGGCAGTTGTTGCTACTTGGTCTGACTCTTTCCATTAGGTGGCACTGTTTGTTGACTGACTGAGTGCCTGATCTGCAGGTATTTGCAGCAAATATTGAGCGTTCTAAGCACTTTGCACCATTTGTTCCTTTTAACCTCACAATGCAGCAAACTGACCTACAGGCAGGAGGTGGGAGAAGTGTTCCCAGTGGGCCCTCACCTTTGCCCTCTCCCTCTAGTGAAGTTTCCCTGTGGGAGGACAGTGAAGAGGAAGCTCAGCAGTTTGAAGCATGATGTAGACCAAGTTGACCCACGTCTCGTCAACGGGAAGCTGACCAAATGGGGAGAGAGCCCCTGGCAGGTGAGAGGGAGACGGTGCGGACTTTCTGTTTAGTATGCAGACATGGGAGGGGAAGTGCTGGCTTGACTTGGACGGGGTGGTGAGGTTGTGTCTGGGGAGGTGAGGTAGCCTGATGGAAGAGGAGCAGCAGGCAGGAAGGAGAGCTGGGGGTGGGGGAGTGTGAGCTTGGCAGAAGCCTGTCTCGTGGAAGCCATGTCTTGCATGGGAGAGGCTAGGAGCAAGGGTTGGCCTCTGAACACCTCTCCAGCCTCCACATGGGAACTGACAGAGTTAGCCCCGCCCTCTGCCAGGCTCGGGGGTAGTGTGGGGTGGGGGTGGGGGGGTGCAGAAATCAGCATGCAGTCCCTGTCCGGGGGCAGCTCACACACTCTGGGAGGGTTGGGCCCCTAGACAGACGGCCACCAGACAGACAGTGGGACCAGAGCTTGGGGGGAGGCAGCACAGCTGCAGGAGCCCCGAGGGGAGTCTGGGGGCGGGCTTCCCAGAGGACACTTGGCCCGGCTCCAGCCCCCAAGGCCAGGAGGAACTCTGAGGGTGCCGCTGGGTGTGGCTGAGGATGGATGGCCACAGCAGCAGCCTGGGCGAAGGCAAGGAGGAGTCCTGGAACGGGCCAGAGCTGTGACACATACAGAGCTAGGAAATGCCAGAGACAGGCGCTGAGTCTGTGCCCACGTGACCAGGGAACCTGGGAAAGGCCTGCAGTAGTTAGTACAGCCAGCCCCCTGCTAGAAAACCCTGCGTGGCAGCTCTGAGACCCCAGGGCCTGGACGTGCGTGGAGTTGTCAGAGGCTACATTGTGATGGCACCCCCCTGCCCATTGTAGGTGCTCCTGCTGGACTCCAAGAAGAAGCTAGCCTGTGGAGCAGTACTTATCCACCCCTCGTGGGTGCTGACCGCGGCCCACTGCATGGAGGATGCCAGGAAGCTCATCGTCAGGCTCGGTATGGGCAACAGCCGGGCAGGGGCCCTTGAAAGGGGCGGGGCCAGGTGGGCTGCCCAGGTTTGGGGGACGCTGGTCCCCAAGGTGCTCAAGTAGGAGGTTGCTTGAGCTCCACAGGTGTGGGAGGCAGCCTCTGCAGTGACCCCCAGTATGCTGCAGGTAGGGGATTATCTGGGGCCCCCTTCAAATCTGGGCACAGTCTGGGTGCAGGGAGGTGCACACCAGTGTTTTGAGTAAAAGGTTGTGCTCACATTTGCTTCTTCCCTCCCACCCACATGGGGCAGGCTGCCTGTGGACCACAAGTATTCTTGGGCAGCGGAGGCCTGCAGGGCCATAGTGCCCGGCCCAGCCCACACACCCACAGGGGAAGGGAATGTGCTGGGGTGGCCTGGCATCAGTCCCCCAGAAAGCTTCCCCCTGCCATCTCCATGCTAGGCTAGAGCCTTCCTTGCAGTAGGCTAGGGGCCTCCACGCCTAGGCCCCACCCTACAACAGTTTCTAGAGGGGCTGTCACAAGTCTTCATGTAAAAAAGAAGGATTTGGGGATTTTTAGTTCCTCTTCCTCCTCCACTGGTGGAACCATCAGCCCTGCTTGAGAGAACCACATCTGTGTGGCCCAGATCTTTCTTCCCCTGGCGCATCTTTGTCAGTCTGCTCCCTCCCCCTTGAGGGTCCCTCCCTTGTGTGCAGGGCACCTCTGCTTTTCTCTCCAGCTACAGTTGCTCCACGTTCCTTTGCGGCCCTGGTCTGTGTCAGCGGTCCCCAGGGAGCCTGGGGCTTCCCTGCTGTCAGCCACGGCCAGTCACTTCTCTGGCTGTGCGGGCCAGCTGCAGTCACATGACTGGGTCTGTAAGGGAGCCCTGAGTTCAGCGCAGCATCTGCCCTTGTGGGATTGACACCAGCGCCTCTTCATCTGGCAGGCAGGCAGTCACCCTTACTAGGCATCTTGGGTACAGGCATGTGGCCCTAGGCCAGTGCTGGGACACGCGGGAGGACACTGTCCATCACAGGGCTAGCGTGAGCACAGCAGCCCAGCTGGAGGCTGTCCCCACCCACTCTGACCTGCCTCCCCTGACCCCTGCAGGGGAGTACGACCTGCGGCGCTGGGAGAAGTGGGAAGTGGACCTGGACATCGGCAATGTTTTCATCCACCCCAACTACAGCAGGAGCACCACTGACAATGACATCGCGCTGCTGCGCCTGGCCAGGCCTGCCACTCTCTCACAGACCATTGTGCCCATCTGTCTCCCAGATAGCGGCCTCTCTGAGCGCGAGCTCACCCAGGTCGGCCAGGAGGTGGTGGTGACGGGCTGGGGCTATCGCAGTGAGATCAAGAGGAACCGCACCTTTGTCCTCAACTTCATCAAGATCCCCGTGGTCGCGCGCAATGAGTGCATTCGGGCTATGCACAATATGGTCTCAGAGAACATGCTGTGTGCCGGCATCCTCGGGGACCCACGGGACGCTTGCGATGGTGACAGCGGTGGGCCCATGGTCACCTCCTTCCGTGGCACCTGGTTCCTGGTGGGCCTCGTGAGCTGGGGTGAGGGCTGTGGGCGCCTGCACAACTATGGCATCTACACCAAAGTCAGTCGCTACCTTAATTGGATCCACAGCTATTTGGGGGCCAAGGACACTGCCCTCCAGGTCCAGGTTCCATAGTATCGTCCCTCCTACTTGCTCTTGGAATGGGAGCTGGGCTGTCAAATGACCTTCAGTGGGACATGCACCAAGCACACAGCCTGCTGCTGTGTCCTCCGTCCCTCTTCTGGGCCGTTGTGAAGTTACATTCGTGGAGCACCTGCTGTCTGCCCCATGCTTCATGAAGAGATTCTCATTTAACCACCACAGCAGCTCTGTGAGGGGCAGAGGAGCAGGTGCAAGTTCTGTGGGGTCTGAATCTGATTGTTCAAATAAAAAAAAATATAAATACAAACTTGCTAGAGCCTCTCCCAGGGCCTTGGAAAGGGCCTGTGCATGTTAGCTTTAGAGTAAGCTCAACTATGGAGGTAGGTATTTTTATCCCTTACTGCAGATGAGGAAACACGCTCAGTAAAGTTTACAAGATGGAGTCAGGATTCAAGTCGAGACCTGACTGCAAACCCCGAGTGCACCTCTCTGCTCCCCACTTGCCCTGGAGGGCAGCTGCTTGAGGCACTGGTGGGGGTCGGGCCACAGGCCCTGCTGGGGAAGTGGCCACAGCCCAGAAGGTTCCCACAGTGGGGCTAGGGATGCCGTGTAAGAACAGTGACACACAACCATAATGAGCAGTAAGCAAGAGGCTTAACCAGCTCTGTAAACAACCGGATAAGACAGAAATAAATTAGGGTCCCTGATTTGAAATCATTAAGTACCAGATAGAAAGGGATGGCGGTGAGACAGAGCAGGGAAGTTAGGCCTAAAGTACTCAGTGGCCACAGGCAAATCAGTTCTCTGGGCATCAATACAATGAAGGGGTTGGGTGAGAGCAGTGGTTCTTAGCCTGGGCTGCACATCTTAATTTCCTGGGGCACTTTTAAAAACCTGTGTCCAGTCCCACCCTGAGTTCTGATTTGATTGAGGGGGGATGGGAACCCAGACACTGGTATTTGTAAAATTCCCTGAGTGATTGTAGCATAGCTGAGGTCGAAAGCCCCTGGACCAGGTGGTCTTGAGGACCTTTTCTGCATGGTAGGCTCTAATTCTGAGACTGAAACAAGGAGAATGACAACCAGTAATCTCAGGAAGTACAGCACAGCTCAGTCAGTAGAGAAGGAGGACCTGATTTGTGATTGCACTCAGCTTTTCCAGACCACAACTGCTGCTTACAGAGCAGAGGGGACACCAGGACCCAGTGAGCTAGCTAGTTACGTGCAGCCAGAAGGAAGGCCCTCCTCAGACCAGGCCTTCAGGAGCCATCTCCTGACCCATGGGGTGAGGGTTAGGGATAGGTGGGTACTGACTGGTAGTGGGAGGAAGGTAGGCCCAGGGCTGGAACCACTTGCCAATAGTGAGTGGGCCAGTGTCCACCACACTTGCAATGGGAGATGACAGATGGAGAGAAACAGAGCCAGAGGTCTTTACCCCTGCTAAAGATCCCCCACGTGGACATCCTGTTGAGATGGTTAAGTAGCATGGGTTGCTGGCTCCCTCCCCAAAGTCACCTGCAGGGAAACAAGTGAGAGGAAGCTAGAACTTTCAAGAACAACAGTCATCCCACTTTGAGGGCCTTGGTATGAGAAGGCTGCCTTGATAGGTTGCATGTGGCAACTGGATGGCTGCAGACAGGGCTAAGGATGACCAAAGTTCTTGGCAGGCTGGAGGGAGTTTTAAGTTCTGTTCCTGCCTCTCTTTCACATTGCTCTGGGAGTGTCACTGTTGCCCCTTCACTACAGAAAGTGGCAGTAACAGCCTAAGCCAAGTGACAAGGCAAAAGCCCTGACGAGGTGAGGGAATACTGAAAACAGGTGTGAGCTGACCATTCCTCCGAGCATTCACTCCTCTATCGCCAACTCCTCCCAACCCCTAACTCAGGGAGATGGTCTCTTCCAAATACAAGTTTTTCCTGAGAGTGTATAAGAGGAGCTGCGTAAAAAGGGAAAGCAAAGGAGTGATTCAAAACAATTCTCTGGAGCCACCGAATTCCACCTGGGCTCCACCTCCTCCTAGTCCCCATGTTTAAATAAGCGAAAGTAACATAGACCAGGGCCTGACCTGCACCCCTTTCCAATGCACATCACCAGAAAGAGCAGTTGATATCCCAACCTCCCCCCTAAAAAAAAAAAAAAAACAAAACGAGCTCATAGGTCAAAATAATGAGACACTCAAGGAGACCAGCCACTATGAAAGAGAACAATCTGAGCAATGAATCCCAATCACTGGCAAAACTATCCTTTAAAAATGAAGGAGAAATTAAGACATCTCAAGATAAAAGCTGAAGGAGTTCATCACTAGTAGACCTGCCCTACAGGAAATGCTAAAGGTAGTCCTTAGGCTGAAATGAAATGACACTAGACAGTAATTTGAAGCCCTAGTAAGAAAGAAAGAACTCTGGCATTTTTTACATTTTATTTACATAGGTAAAATAAAAGCCAGCGTTGTATTTTTGGTTTGTAACTCCTCTTTTATCTCCTATCTGATTTAAAAGAAAAATGCATAAAACAGTAATTATAAATCTGTATTAAGTGGACACAATATATACAGATGTAGTTTGTGACAGTAACAACAATAGAGGGAGAGATGGAGCAGAGTTTTTGTATACTATTAAAGCTAAGTTGGTATTCAAACTATAATGTTATAAATTTAACATGTTAATTGTATTAACCAGGGTAACCACTAAGAAAATAACTAAAAAAAATACAGAAAGGAAGTGAAAAGAATCAAAATGGCACATCAAAACAAAACAACAAACCCCAATTAAACACAAAAGAAAACAGTAATGGAGGAATTGAGGGAAAATAAGATACACGGCATAGAGAAAACCAAGAGCAAAATAAGTCCTTCCTTCATTATAAGCAATTACATTAAATGTAAATTGACTAAACTCTCCAATTAAAAGACAGGTTGGCAGAATGGATTAAAAAACACTATCCATCTATACGCTGTGTAAAAAGAGTCTCAACTTAGATCTAAAGATACAAATAGAATGAAAGTAAAAGGATGGAAATATAATGCAAAAGAGAGCAGAAGTGGCTATACTAATATTAAACAAAATAGACTTTAAGTAAACAATTGTTAAAAGAGACAAAGAAGGACATTGTATATTGATAAGTGGATCAATTAATGAAGAAAACATAAGTTATAAACATTATGCACCTAAAAAAGAGCTTGAAGTATATGAGGCAAAAATAGAATCAAAGGAAGAAATAAGAGTTCTACAATAATACAACCATATTCCACTTTCAATAATGGATAGAACAACTAGACAGAAGGCCACTGAGAAAACAGAGAACTTGAAAAATAACATAAACCAACTAGACCTAACAGACATCTATAAACCACTCCATCCAACAGTAGAATACACATTCTTCTCAAGTGCAAATGGGACATTCTCCAGGTTACACCATATGTTAGCCCATAAAACAAGACTCTAATTACATTAAAAGGATTGATATCATACAAACTATGTTTTCTGACCAAACTGGAATGAATTTAGAATCAGTAACAAAAGGAAATTTGGGATGTTTACAAACGTGGCAATCAAACAACATACTCCTAAATAACCAATGGGTCAAAAGAAGAAATCGCAAGGTAAATTAAAAAATACTTTGATATGAATGAAAACTGCACCCAACAACAGAAGAATACACAGTTTTCTTAAGTGCACATGGAACGTTCTCTAGGATAGACAATATGTTAGGCTACAAAACAAGTTTCAACAAATTTTAAAAGAACGAAATAATACAAAGTTATCTTTTCCACCACAATTGAATGAAACTAGAACTCAGCAACAGAAAGAAAAATGGAAAATACACAAATACGTGGTAAATAAACAACACAGTCTTAAATAATGAGTCAAAGAAAATATCACAGGGAAATTAGAAAATACTTGAATGAAAACAAAAACGCAACATACCAAAATGCATGGCATGCAGCAAAAGCAGTGGTTAGATATCAAATCAATAATCTAACTTTACACCTTAAGGAACTAGAAAAAGAAGAGCAAACTAAACCTAAAGCTAGTAGAAGGAAGGAAATAATAAAAGATTAGGGCAGAGATAAATAAAATGGAGAACAGAAAAACAGTAGAAGCAGTGAAACCAAAAGTTGGTTCTTTGAAAAGATCAACAAAATTGGCAAACTTTTGCTAGACGGACCAAGAAAAAAAGACTCAAATTACTAAAATCACAAATGAAAGGACATAACTACCGACTTTACAGAAATAAAAAGAATCATCAGCGAATATAATGAACAACTGTGCAGCAACAAATTAGATAACTTAGTTGAAATGGACAAATTTCTAGAAAAACACAAACTACCAAAACTGATTCAGGAAAAATAAAAGATCTGAATAGACCTATAATTAGTAAAGAGATCAAGTCAGTAATGAAAATAATCTCCCAACAAAGAAAAATCTAGGACTGATGGCTTCACTGGTGAACTCTACCAAATATTTAAAGAAGAATTAACACCCATCCTTCACAAATTTTTCCAAAAAACAGAAGTAGAGGTAACACTTCGTAATTCTTTGAGAGCAGCATTTCTCTGACAACAAAGTCAGACAAGGACATCACATGAAAAGAAAACTGTAGGCCAATATCCTTTATGAATATAGATGCAAACATTCCCCCCAAAATACTAGCAAACTGAATCCAGCAGCATATTGAAAGGATAATATACCATGACCATGTAGGATTCATCCCAGGAAGGCAAGAGTGGTTCAACATATGAAAATCAATCAATCTAATACATCATATTAATGGATTGAAGGGAAAAAATCCACATGATCATTTCAGTTGATGCAGAAAAAGTACGTGACAAACTCCAACACCTTTTTATGCTAAAAACAAACTAGAAATAGAAGGGAGCTTTCCCAACATGATAAAGGGTGTTTATAAAAACCCACAGCAAACATCATACCCTATTAGGCTGAACAGAAAGCTTTCCCCTTAAGGAACAAGACAAGGATTCCAATTTTTGCTACTTCTATTCAATATTGTACTGGAAGATCTATCCAGACCAATTATGCAAGAAAAAGAAATAAAAGGCACCTAAATTCAAAAGGAATAGATAAAAATATCTCCATTTGCAAAGGACATGATTTTGTATTTAGAAAACCCTACAGAACCCCCTCCCAAAACTATTATAGATTATAAACAAATTAAGAAAAGTTGTAGGATCAACTCACAAAAATTAGTTGCATTTCTCTACAGTAGCAATGAAGAATCCCAAAAAGAAATTAAGCAAGTCCATTTACAACAGCATTAAAAAGAATATACCCAAGGGACTTGAAAGCAGCCATAGGAACAGACACATGTATACCAGTGTTCACTGCAGCATTATTCACAATAGCCAAAAGGTGGAAACAACCTAAATGCCCATCAGTGGATGAAAGGATAAACAAAATCTGGTACATACATACAACAGAATACTATTCAGCCAGAAAAAGAAATGAAG